TGCTGTGCTCCACCCACGGCAGGCCTCGACAGTGGGTGGAGCACAGGTCCCATAGGAGGGACCTGACCCACTGCCAGTCCTGCTGAGAAGAGGAGATTCGGACCCAGGCACAACCTAGGCAGACTAGGGCACGGACAGCGGCACGAGTCGTGGGGGGAGACGTCCGCAGCCCGGGACCCCACGCCCCCTCCCGGAAAGGGGGGCGTCTGGAGCGAGAGAGCAGGTGCTTTGCGTGGTGGGGAGCACAGTGCTGGAGGGCCGAGGTGCAGCCAGGTGTCGGGGCTGCCCCGTGGAGGCCACTCAGGGGCTCCAAGCAGGAGACAGCCCAGGCCAGTGTTCACAAGCCTTCAGCCTGCTCTGGCTTCCTGACTGGCTCCCGGGGCAGCAGCCATCCGGGGATGGGTGTGGGGCTCGGGCTGGGTCCATAATGGGAGTGGGGGGCTTGGAGGTGGCAGGAGGCACTGGATCCAAGCCTCTCCCCTCCCCACTGTGGGGTCCTGCTTGCCCAGGACACCTCTCGCACAGCACCTGGGTCCAGCTGGCCAGAGGCACCACCGAGCCAGGGTCCTGGTGGGGCTCGGAGCCCACCTGGCCCGGGATCCCCCAAACTGGGCTCTGCCCCTCTCTCCCTGACAGAGGAGGCCTGGGCCTGGGACACCCTTCCCCTGCCTGGACCTCGTGCCCCCGAACAACATGCTCATGCAGGCCCCTCTGGGGCCCGTGTCTGAGCCCTGCCAGGAGGGCTGCTGTCCCCTGTGGGCCCTGAGCCATCCACCCTGGTTCTCCCAGGGAAGGTGGGTGGGGGCTGGGCACCAGGCCAGGGCACAGCCCTCCACAGGGAGCCGGGCAGGGCCCCAGGGCCAGGAGGAAGCACGCCCACCCACTTTGCAGGATGTCAGCCCTGGGTGGTGAGCAGGTAGCCGGGGGGCCAGAGACCCTGTGCTCCCGGCCCTGCGGCCACACCTGCTGTGTACGCCGTTGGGAGTGCGTCGTGGTAGGAGCACCGTGGGTACCACACTGCCCACTGCCCGAGCTGGGCGGGCCCTCTGCATGGCTAGGCTGGGCTCCATCTCCCAAGATAGGGCCTCAGCCCCCAGCCCGCTGCTCCCCCCAGCCACCCTCCTGGGCCACCAGGTCAGGTCGCCTCCTTGGGCCTCAGCAGGCACGGAGGCTCTGGCACACGGCCACGTGGACCACAACTGAGAAACTCCAGAACATCTTCTCCAGGCCGTCCGTCATCTGGGGGGCCTTCCCGCAGGAAGAGGCGTCTGGATGGGGACAGACAAACAGGTGACCTCTGCGAGGTCCTTGGGTGATGGGGCGGGGGCAGCAGCTCAGGGCAGCTCCAGCTGGGGACCCGGGAAGCTCCTAGGCCGGTCTCCAGGCACCGGGAGGGACAAGGCAAACACGGCCTGGCCGTGCCGGTGGACAGCTGTCTGCCCAGTGCCCGCACCTCTTCTCCACGCCCCCCATGCTGGCACAGGGTTAAAGCCGAGGTGTGGGCCTCTTCCCAGGGCTGAGCAAGCATCACGAGGGGCAGGTCCCAGCAGAAGCTGCCTCCCAGCCGGCCTGGGGGCCTGGTGACCCCTGACCCCTGTCTGGAGTGAGGTTGTGCCCAGTGGGGAGGGTGTGGCCGGTAATCCTGGCACAGCCTCCTCTGCCCTCTGGTTTCTCCCATGTGACCCTGACTCCCCCAGGGTGTGGGCCTCACAGGAAGAAAGAACGGCTATTGCTGCACAGAGATGTCCCACAGGGGCAGGGTCTGGCAGGCCTGGGGGGGAGGGCAGAAGCAGCACCCCATGCGGCCTGGCCCTGCGCCCACAACAGTCGGCTGCAGCTCCCCCTGCTCAGGTTGCCCCCAGAGCCCAGGCCCCAGAACCCAGGAGGCAGGGTGTGAGCAGCAGCCAGGACCAGGCTGGCCCCAGGGCCGACAAGGTGGGAGACACTCCAGCCGACGTCCAGAGCAACAACAGCTCCCTCCTCAGCCCTGGCTGCCGCACCCTCTGCTGCCCACACACCTGAGACCTCCCCGTCCTCCTCAAGGTCTCGCCTGGACACCGAGGACTGGAAGCCTCAAGAGGGAGGAGGCCCAGCACCTGGTGACCATACCCTGCCCAGATACTTGGCGGGGGTAGGTCCAGCCAGCATCGGCCCTGGGGGTCTCCTAGGACAGTGGCCAGAGCCGCACACGTGCTGGGTGGGCCACTTGGCCACCCAGACCCCCGCCTCCTCTGTTCTCCCTCTGCCATGGGCCCCCCTCCTGGAACCTCACTGGGCTAGGGCCCTGGGATTTGGGCCCTGGACTGTGCCCTCTAGCATGCTGGAGGCCAGGCCCCACAGGCGCAGTCCCCCGCATGCTGCTCAGGGCTTCCTAAGCCCTGCTCCTGCCTCTCCTACTGGCCTTCCTGACCCCTTAGTCCCTGACCTGCCAGGAACCCTCCTGCCTCGGCCTCCCCAGGAGCTGGGATGACAGGTGCCCCTGTCAGGGGAACTCTGCTAATTACCTGCTTTAGGGACCGGCCCAGTGAGGGAGGGGACTGGCCGCAACGCAGCTGGGCAGGCAGTGGGGTGATTTCCCAGGCAGCCTGAGCTGTGAGGTGTGTGGCTTGGCCGCCCGAGTGCGCTGGGCTCCAGGTCCCCTCCCCCAGGAGCCTGACTCTCCCCGGATGGCAGCAGGGAGACACGCTAGCAGCAGCTTCTGCCCGCTCCAGGGCAGCCCATGGAGGAGCAGGCAGCGGGACACAGCCCCGGGCCTGAGGTGTGGTCCACTGCCCTCCGGAACAGCTAGTCCTGCCATTCCCAAACACCCCACCCAATGGAGGCCACCTGCAGGCAGGCCATCCTGTCAGGGAACTCGCACACAAGGCCGAGGGACAGGTCACCTCTCTACAGCGCCAGCTAGTTGCTTAGCATCTGACACGCCTGGGGGGGGTCGACTCACCGTCCCTGGCCAATCAGCGGTGGCCCAAGTCCTGCCTCCTCCTCCCTGACACGCACAGAGACAGTGGCAGCCGGATGCCCAAGGGGGAGTGAAGCAGAGTGCCATGGCCCTTGCCGGGGGAGGAGCAGCAGCTGGCTCTGCTGGGCAGCCCTGCCTGGCGGGAACACCCTGGCTGCAGGCTGAAGAGCAGATTGGGGCCAGCCAGACTCCCAGGTCTCCCCCACCCTCTTCCCATGCTCCTGGACTGGCTAGGCGGGAGTGGCTCAGGGGTCAGAAGGGGCAGAGATCCCCAGAGGACAAACTTTGGCTGTGAAGTCTTCTAGCGTTTTTTGATGCCCCATTTTGGATGCCCCAGGGGCTCCAGCCGCCCCTGCCAAAGTGGCATCAAGTGGACGCCCGCTCCGGTGCAGTCCAGAGGGCACACGGCCTCTGGAGAAGAAGGGCGGGGCTGAGCACAGGTGCCAAAGCGAGGCGGGCCGCAACTGCGAAGCGGGAACTTCAGCTTCTGGGAAACCGGTGGCCCAGATCCGCTCCCACCGATGCCTGGGCTGCACAGGAGTGGCCTGGAAACCTCCTCTTCGCCCCTACGGGACCCCGAACAGGCAGAGGGGAGCCCCGGGGTGGGACGCAGGCCCGTGGCTCTGCCGGCCGCCTGCAGCCGGGCGCTGTTCTCGCCTGCGCCCTGGCTGTCCGGCCTCTCGTCCAGGATCATCGCCGCCCGCCAAGCCGACCCGGCGTGCTCGAGGGCCGGCGACAGCTCAGCTCCCCGGGAGCCCAGGTGGCCAGCGCGCGGCCCACGCCCTCGGTCGGCCGGCCACTCGGGCAGCACCCCGCAGCGGGAACCCGGCCGCCCGCACTGCCCTCGGTGTCCCGGCTGGTCCCGACTGTCGGCTCCTAGGGGGCGGGGCGGCCCTGCGCGGCTGGGCGGGGCGTGCGAAACTTGCCGTTGCCCAATCGGCGAAGGCGGCCGCCCCGACGAATGGCAGTGGCGGCCAATAGACCGCGAAGGAGGCTGACTCCCGGGGAAGCCCCGCCCCCACCGCTTGCGTAGTGCGAGGCTGTCGGTAACCCCTGGCAACCACAGCAGAACTCAGAGGTAGGCTAGCCACTCGCATTGCGCATGCGCCGCGGGGGTCGGTTTAGCGCGCGGAAAAAGTTGGGTAGAAAGAGAACCACGCGGAACGTCAAATGCTGGAAGTCAGTTTAGCCCTATGCAGAGGCTCGAGAGTTCTCCAGGCTGAGGTTTATCCCGTCACCACGGCAACGGGGTCCTGTAAGAGGATTGTATCCGAAGTGTGTACAATGGGGTTCTTCAGCGGCCGCACTCGCCGTGCGCCTGCAGGCCTCAGAACAATGCCCGCCTTCTCCGCGGCGGCAGGGTCCGCGCTTTGTCCGCGGCCGGTGCTCCTGCAGCCCTGCTTCTGGCCGGCCTGCGGCGGGGGCCCGCACTCCCCGCCGCCAGGGCACAGCTTGCAGGACCGGCCCCTCCAGTGTGGGTCCCAACCGTACCCCCGCAGAGCGTGCCGGCAGCCACCTGCTTCTGATCTTTCTCCACTGCCCTAGGTTGCTGGGACGTGGGCCCCCTCGGACTTCATGTGGGCCGCCTCGCCTGGGCTCACCCTTTGTACGGCAGGATAGAGACAGGCAGTAAGGTGGCTCTTTGCCAAGTTCCCCTGAGGCTCCAGTTCCTTCCCACCTCGGGCCACACCTGACCACCATCCCCAGAGCTAATCCTGTAAATTAAGCTCCCTGGCCTGCCCGCCAGTGCACAGCGGCCCTGCCAGCCACTGCCGGGAGCTGGCGCACAGGCCAGAGGACTGCTCTCAGCTCCTGCTGGCCCAGGGCAGAGGCTCCCGCTGTCTTCCCGTGGCACTGGCGTAGGCCAGCTTGCTTGTGTGCGGGCTGGCCGGGGCCGTATTGCACACCACCCCAACCCTGTCGGCAGGAGCCTGGGTCTTTCAGCTGTCTAGGCTGTGGGTGTGCATAGCAGGGGGCGTAGTGAACCTCAGTGAGCTCCTGTAATCCAGGGTGCCTGTGCTACCAGCAGAACAAGCTGGCTGCTTCTAGTCACAGTCAATGAAGTGAGAGGCGGGGCGGAGGAGAGGAGTTTCTGCAGCCGGGTTCCGGGGAGGCAGGCAGCAGGCACCACCCAGCTGTCCGGGGAAGCTCCGTGCGGCTCGCGGCAGCAGGCACCACCCAGCTGTCCTGGGAAGCTCCGTGCGGCTCGCGGCTCAGGGGCAGGAGGAGAGCACCGTGCACTGGGCCTCGCCACCACCCACAGGAGCACCGCTCCCCTCTGAGCAGCTCTGATGCCTGCTTTCCTTCTAGGACCTGCTCCTGCTTCTCACCTGATCCTCCTCACACAGACGGTCCTCGACTTGGCACTTGGCAGGACCCTTCTCATCAGGGGTCTTCCTTCTTCTTTCTTAAAAAAAATTGCTACAGGGTCCAGCAGATGGCACCATGGTTACGTTGCTGGACTCCCACGGATTTGACCGTGGTTTGAGTCCCGGACCCAGCGGCTTAAACTCACTCCAGGCACGTGTGCATGCGTGCCCAAAATCCCAAAAAGAAAATGGAGAAAGGATTGTGGTGTGGCCATCCCCCCCCGGGGGTGACTTCTTGCTTTCTGTCTCTGTGTCTCTGGTGAGCATACACGCCCTATAGCAAAAACACCCTCTCTCAAAAAAAATTTGCTACAGGGCATATGTGCTCCCTGGAGAGAGGAGGTGAGAGAACAGGCCAAGGTGGGAGGTCTGCCACAGTCCCTTCTCCATTGTCTTCTCGGGATCCAGGGCACGCAGACACAAATGCCTGGCATGTTTCTCAAGCCACTGGGTCTGGGACTCGAACTGCACAGATGCCGTGTGGAATCCAGCCTGCTCAACCTCCACGCCACCTGCTGGCTCAAGGAGGTTTTGATATCAAATCAGAGGCCCAGCCGGTGGTGCACATGGATGGTAGTGTGCTCATCTGCAGTGCTGGAAGCCACATGCTTGTCGGTTCCAGTCTGCAGCCCGGTTGGCCTGGAGCAGACGTGGCACAAGCTTGGAGGACTGAGGGAGAGTTGGTGGTGTGACCGCACCCTGCCAAGGCTTTGCCTCTCTCTCACCTGTGTGCACACCTGCTCTCTATCATGAACTGAAAAGGAGACCCAGTAAATCCAGATGCCAGAGAGGAAATAAGCTGAAGATTTGACCACATAAAATTTTAATGTTCTACTTAGCAAAAAACATTTAAAAAGTCAAAGAAGAGAGAAGGAAAGTGAGTTAATACCTCCAATAAAAGAACTCCTAAAAATGGACCTGAAAAAATAGTAAAAGGAAGCATTAGAAAAAATAGGTGGGCTCTTTCTATGGTGCAATGGTAATGTGCTGCTTAAGAGAAGCTGGATCCCCATGGTGACCATGGTTCGAATCCCCAGCTCGGTCAACTTGAAACACACATGTGAGTGAATACCCAGGGTCCAATGGGCTGGAGAGCTGGTCACAGCATGACCAGACCCTGTGGAGGGTCTCTGTCTCTGTCTCTGACTTTCATGTGTGCGTGCATGCATGAATTAAGGGAGAAAGTTACCATTAATGAAACATGCAGCACTGTATTTTAAAGAAAGGAGAGGAAAACAGGTTACGTATTGGTCCGTGTCTCACAGGAGAGCAGGTGCCACTCAGGTATTTCAGAAAGGGGGCACCGAGCATGAAGAATTGGTGCACAGATGTGGGAAGGGCTGAAGGAGCCAAGGAGGAAGGCGGGATGGCTTGGAGCCCGTGCCGTCAGAGCCGTCAGAGCCAGTGTCCTGGCACACTCTGCCCACGCTCTCCCAACTGCCACCTGTCTGCCCACCTCACTGGAGCCCAGCCAGCAAGGAAGATAGAAGCACAGCGCCTGGCTGGGGACCCACGGCCAATAAAACAGCTCCCCCGACCCTGACATAAATAAGCAATTCATTGTGAGGAAGATCCATGACCGACCTGCGTGGGACCTCCTGTCCTGCACTCGGAGTCGGGACAGGCAAACCGAGCCATGCTGACGACCTTCCACAGCCATCGGGTCGTCAAAGGTCTGCAAGAGCGGGCAGTGCCGTGACCCCCTGGGTGCTAAGAGTCAGGAAGAAGCGATTCTCAGTCCATATGTGTGCGCTCTGCCTCAGCGCCCCGCTTCTGGGAATTGCGCCTCCTAGAACAAGTGTCTGCATTAGCAGCAACACGGGATGAAAGGACGCGAGAACCTGGGCACGGCCTGTGTCCTCCAACAGAGAAAGGCACGCTCCTGGCCCTTCCCGCTGAATTAGAGCTGAGTGGGACGGCCCAGGGAGGTGTGTGCCACACTGCCTGCAGACTCCCGGAGGGGACCCGTACTGCTCTGGGGGAGGGAAGGGGAGCGACTCCGGCAGGCTGCGAGACTTTGCCGATGGGCAGCCCGGTCAGTCGCTCCGTCTCCGGCTTTGTGTGGTTGGAGATTGGGGGTGAAGGGCTCTCTCTTTACAGACTTCTGTGCTCTGAGGCCTGTCACAGCAGCTGTGTGTCACTGCACTTTTGAAGTTAACAAAATTAGCAGGAAAAAATGAGGCTGAGAAGTGAGAAGGCGAATTCTCGCGTGAAAAGGCAGAGAAACAGGGAGGGATGGGGTTGGCCGGGCTTTCCGCAGGAGGCGGGTGGTGGTGATGGTGCAGCTGGGGCCACCGACACCCTAGTACAGACCAGGTCGAGCGCCAGCCTGAGGCTCCCGATGCCTGGAAACCTGCAGGGTCTTTGGTCGGAGAAAACTTGGGCTCCCACGTCCGGCAGGAAGACCCAGGGCTCCAGGCAGCCCTGCGGCCCTGTCCACCATCCAAGGTGGCGTGGGGAGAGTGGAGCTAGGGCTGTCCTTGCAGTGCCCAGCTGTCTCCGGGACAGGCCACCACAGAGCCTGAGATGTACTCAGGAGACTTGCTGTGGAAGAGAACCCGGGAAGCTGCAGATTCTAGAAAATTCCTGCCTGGTCCAGCCCCTCCCGGTGGGGGCGGTGGAACACGGGCATGCCTCGGGCAGAGCGTGGTGCCTCCCTCGCTGCCGGCCTGGGGCTCACACGGCTGACACTGCAGACACTGCATTTCCACTGGCAGGGTTCCTGGGCCAGGAGCAGAGGCCGCCGCTGTGCAGGCACAGGACTGGAATTAGCCGGCTTCTGCCCAGGCCTGCGCTGTTTTGTCGGGTCTGTCCCGCATTTAGAGGGCATGGAAACAACACGGACAGGAGACAAGCCGCGCAAAGCACACGGAGACGTGATGGGCTGCTACGCCGGCCGCTGTCCATGATCAATGGAGTAGCAGGGAGCACGGGGCCGCGAGGAGACCTTAATCAATGGCGGTAATAGCTGGCCATGCTTCATCCGTAGAGATGTCACCTAGGGACGCGGGGGCAGGGGACAGAACGTGAAAAAATGAGCTGTTTGTAAATACAATCAACAACCTCGAGTCCGTGAGAAAGCCATCCGTCATCTGGAAGCCACCTTTGGTGAGGGATGCACCTGCTTCCTGTGAGACAGGGCCATCAATCCCCCAAGTCACAGGCTGGGGGGCTGAGGCCCTGAGCTCGGGCCTGCGTATTTATTCTTATTCAGAGACAACTTGAGTCATTTAAATACTAAATGGGCCACTGAGAGGTTGGCTGCGTGCACCGCCCTGGGGCCCCAAGGTGGAAAAGGGCACAGTCCTTCAAGGCCCTCCTCAGGGCACCTCACTGGGCCCCTGGCAGGGGGAACACGCACCACACCCCAGGCTGTGTGTGCTCACACCCCCACCAGACATGAGTGCCAAGGGAGCCCTTGAGGGGGCAAAGTGGCTCAGCACGAGGACTTCTGCGGACGGCACGTTCTGGGAAGTGAAGGCGGGGATGTGG